AGGACCACGCCACAATCCCTTCTCCTCCATTGTCCTCTCAGGATTTGGGGCACATACACACATGTGCCCAGAGTGAGTTTTAAGCCACCAGGTCTGGGATTCAAACCGTGGTCGACTATGTGGGAATCCAGCGACATTACCATTATGTCATCTGCTGGTCCCTCACTTTTATTTCTAATTTTAGTAATTTTAATATCCTCTTTTTTTCTTTAGTTCCTCTAGCTAAATGGTCATCAACCTTCCTGAAGAACCAACTTTTTATCCTCATCAATTATTTTTGCCCAGATCCATGGAATTTTGCCTTATGCATCCACAGGTTAGGGTTTGGCTAATGACTCAGGGACGATCTCTATGCATATTTCTTTTCCTTTTTCTTTTAGAATTATTTTATTTAACTATATTTATCATTATTATTATTGTTGTTGAATCTGATCAGAGAGAGAGAGAGAAAGTAAGAAAGCAAGCCACCAGGTCCTGGACTCGAACCACAGTCTCCATGTCGGAGTTCAGTGCCTCTAACCACCATGCCACCTGCTGGCCCCGTCCCTATGCATATGCCTCACCTAGATGTCTCTGCAGTTCTCACCCTGTAATTCCTAGCTGCTTTGACCTCCCCAAACTTCTGTCTTGTAGGACCACTGGGCTCTGTTTCGGTTCCTTTCTCCTACTCAGCAGTTTAGAGATTTCTTCAGGCAGAAAGCCTGGGCAGTCACAGCTCGCCCTGCTCGGTTCTCATCTTTCGGGGTTGCGGCACTGTGCTGCCTGCAACCAGTGTCTAAAACGCGCTCAGCCACGTTTCATCCAGTCGTTTACCGTGAGAGAGCAATTCTGGACCCTGTAATTCCTTCACGGGCAGGGTAGAAAAGTGGAAATCCCCTGCGTCTTTATGTTTCAGGAAGAATAAACGCAGCCATGAAGGATTAAGGCCACTGGTTACAAAAAGCAGCCTTTATCCCTATCAGAGGCTGTCCTGTGAGAATGAATGACGTTGCTGACCGCAGACAGAGACTTTTTTTGAATAAAATGTTGTTCTCAGAGAGGTTGGGAGAGGGTTTCCTGACAATGAGGAATCTCCAGAGTTGGGGACAGCTTGCTGGGTTTCCTGGCACCTTCGGTGCATCCTGGCTGGTGCTGGAGTGGCCAGGTGCCCGGAGGCGTGGAGGACGCATCCCTGCAGCTTTGGTCTGGAGTTTCACAATCTCCTGGTAGCCTGTCTTTGCCAATACTATCCAGGTGCCCTGAGGCCACATGAAGACTGCCGGGGCACCCAGTGGGAAGGCCTGCCTGTGTCTGCACTCTGTCCTTCTGCCTACTAGAAGCCCGAGCGTGACGGTGACATTGTCTTCGCGAAGATCTGCCCAACAGCGTTCTCCTGACTCAGCGTCTTTACCTTCTGTAGACGCAGCCCCTGCGTGGGCTTGTGCTGGGCCTGTGGCATGGGGTCTCCTGTCCTTTGCCTTTTCTCCGGGGTAGAAACTGGCGAGACAGACCTTCAACCCCATTTCTGGAGGGGCCTGTCCCTTCTGTGGTGGGCAATGGGGTACTGTCGCCCAGCGGTCTCTGTGGACTCTGTATGCCAGGCAGGTGCTGGTCCCCGTGGTAGGGGAGGACTTCGGTCCCACTTACTTTCTTTAATGTTGTCTGGGTTTGGGGTCTCTTGGGTTCTCTCTCCCCAAGAAAGATAAAATTTTATTTCAGGGAGTTTCTCAGCTCACTGGCTTTAACAATATCCTCTTGGGCCAAGTCAGGTGGGGTGGTGGTTGAGGCAGCTGGGTCCCACATGGCCAGTGTGCAGTTCAAGCCCTGAACCCGGTGGTTTAGGAGACACGCGGAGTGCATGTGCATGTTGCACGTGTGCCCAAGTCCCAAGAAGGGAATGGAGCAGGGGTAGAAGCACGGTCAGCACCCCTGCGAGGTGCTATCTTCCATTCTCGCTGTCTCTGTCTGTCTCTGGTAAGTGTAAGTGCCCAGGAGCAAATTAGAAAAAGAAAGAAGGGGGGCCAGCAGGTGGCATGTGAACCCACCAGAGAGAGAAAGAGAGAAAGTGAGAAAGCAAGCCACCAGGTCCAGAGGTCCAGGACGAGTCCAGCACCCTGACCACCACTCCACCTGCCAGCACCCAGATTACTTCTTTTTGCAAGAATCTCTATTTTTTTAAAATAATTATTTTATTTAACTTTATTTATTTATTTTACTTTGACGAGAGAGAGACAGAGTGAAAGAGAGAGAGAAAGTGAGAAAGCAAGCCTCTGGGTCCAGGACTCAAACCACGGTCAGCCAGCCATGTGGAGTCCAGCATCCTTAACCACCATGCCACCTGCTGGTCCCACAAGAATATTCCATACATGATGCTGGGCAATTCCCATTGCACTACATCAGGTGTCACATCTTGTCTGGTTGCCTCTAAGTGACATCCAGGATGATGGGCAGGTTTAGGTGTTAATCAGCCTGACCCATCTCAAGTTCTAGGTCACCTCAGGTTGTAACAGGCTTTGCCATTATCTAAGTCAATTACTTTATTAGGGGTTGAAAATGTATGATGATTCTTCTTCCTTTAATCTTTCCGCATTAGCTGGAAATCCTTTACGGATTTTCGGTAAGGGAGCCGGCAGATGGCATAGTGGTTTGAGTGCTGGACTCCCATGTGGTCAGCTGTGGTTTGAGTCCCGGACCTGGCAGTTTGCTTTCTCGCTTTCCTCTCTCTCTCTCTCTGGTGAGCATGGGTAACCTATAGCAAATTAAAACAATAATAACAATAAATTAAATTAAATATACAATTCTTAAAAAAAAAAAAAAGAATTTCACTTGTTTTCTCTTTGGTTACCCTGAGGGAGCGTTCAGGGCAGGAAGGTTAGGTAAATGTGTGATGGTTTGTCTTAGGCCATCAGCTTCCAGAAAAAGGAACTGAGGCACCGGCAATCTCCAAAAGTGATTAATAAGCCATTTGTTTCTGGGTTGTTTTCTTTTTGGTATCACAATGCACTCTTGAATTTGTGCATATTTGATGGGTCTCGATTCAGACTTTTTTTTTTTTTTTTTGGAGAGGTTTCTGCTGTAGGGTGCATGCGCTCACCAGAAACACACAGAGAGACAGAGAGACAAAAAGCGAGAAATCCCCCCCCTGGGGGGGATGGCCACGCCGCAATCCCTTCCCCTCCATTCTCCTCTCGAGATCTTGGGCACGGACGCACACGCGCCCAGTGTGAGTTTAAGCCACTGGGTCCGGGACTCAACCGCAGTCGACCACGTGGGAGTCCAGCAACATAGCCATTACGCTAACTGCTGGTCCCTATACTCAGACTTTTTAAGGACCTTCATTTAGTTATAATTGACATGGAACAAACTTCACAGATTTAAAGTCTACAGCATGATCGATTTGGACACAGGTGCGTCCTGGGAAAGTGTCACAGTACTGATCGGCATGGCGGGCACCCGGAGAGCTGTGTGTCCTTTGAATCCCTCTCCCTCTTTCCTCCTGCCTCATCCAGTCCCCAGGAACCGCTGATTTGTTTTACACATTTTCTTGAGTTCTTTTTTAGTTTTTTGCTATAGGGCAGGTACACACAGAGATCTTAGGACTTTGGATTTAGCAATAGATTCCTAGACTTGAACACCAAAGCATAAGCCAAAAGAGAAAAAAAAAAGAGGTAAATGGAACTTCATCAAACTTACAAACTTTTGAGCATCAAAGGGCATTAGTGAGAACGTGAGGCCCAGCCTGGCCGCATGGCCGGAGCACCTGGTCTTAAGCAGTTGAGGCCACGTGGGAGGCCATACCAAGACACTTCTCAGGAGGCTGGTGGCTTCCTTCTCTTATTGGTCAAGGTCCCCCAACTCCCCAGCACTTCCAGGTTCTGCCTGTGGAGGCACTGGTCCGGGCCAGGGTGTCTTGTGTTGGACGAGTGCTGGATTCCCATAAGGCCGACTGGCTTGAGTCCCAGGCTTGCTTTCTCACTTTCCTTCTCTCTCTCTGGTCAAATTTAAATATATACACACATATATAATAATAATAAAACAATTATTAGAAAAAAAAAAAAAACCTAGGTAAGACATCAAAGGCATAACCTGAGAAGTCGCCCTCCGGCGCTGCTCCTGTCCACTGTAAGTAGTCTCGCAGCTGTTCCTTCACTGCCATGGGACCGGCCGCCCTGGCCCCTTCCAGGAGGCAAGGCTCAAGTCCAGCCGGTCCTAGAAGCTCCCTCTAGTGGGTCCCCCGTCAAGATGAAGGCAGCGAGTCAGTGAAACGCGCTGCAGTCTGTCCGTGGCCGCACCCGCCCTGAGACGGCAGGACGCCCTAGCCCTCGCCCCGGCGTCACGCTCCAGGCTGCCCTCGCCTGTGGCCAGCGTTCGGGGAGGCCTGACTGCTTTCCGCTCGGAAGATCCAGACTCATTTCAGGAAGGCCTAAGGCTTCAGCTGTGCCCTTGCCAGCTTGCGGTAGTTGCAGGTGCTTCTTTCTGCTCTTTTCTTCCCTATCCCTGGGTAGGGAAGCGCGAGAGATGTCACAGCAGGTCCTCTGAGCTCCAGGCGTGGTCCTTCTACTGGCGCGGTGGGTCACAGGCGTCCTGACCCCCCACTGCCCCGGGGTTACCCTGCCAGTGTAGTCATTCATGCCCACCTCCAGGCCATCTGGCTTAAGGAGTCCAGTTCCAGACGTTCAGTGCAGCGCCCAGCTCAGGGGTCCACTCTCTTTCCTGGGATATATCCCCCCAAACCAGCAAAGCAGAGTCTAAGACTGTGAGGACACTTTCAATGCAAATAGGTCATTTACACCATCTGTCAACACGTCTCCCTTCCTCCCTTCTCACGTTGCTGGCTGAGGTGTTGTTTGAACTTGTTCACAGTTCACAAATCATGTCATTTTTTTCTTTTCCTTTTTTTAGTTTTGCTATAGGGCTTGTGTGCTTGCCAGAGAGACAGAGGGAGATAGAAAGTGAGAAATCACCCCCCAGGGCGGATGGCCACGCCACAATCCCTTCTCCATTCTCCTTTTGGGCATGCACACACACACTGGGCCGGGACTCAAACAGCACAGTCCTGTGAGATCCAGCGGCCTTAACCTCCATGCCATCTGGTGGGCCTCGTGTAATTTTTTATGGACAAGTATTTTTTTGAAAGAGCAATGAAATATATCTGCCTTAAAGGTCACCCATTACCACCACTCCTTATCACCAAAATTGAGGGGGTCTTTCTTTCGTCTTCTGACCTGAGATACCCCAAGTAAAGCCCACCTCTCTGGATCCCACAGCACCTGTTCCATTCCCAGGTCTTGTTCCCACGGCTCTACTCCCAGAAGCCCACTCACAGTCATGTCGCCCTTCCTCAAAGGATTGACCTGGCCAGCCGTGTACGGGCCTCACACTCCACGCTCAGCACTGCTCTGCATGGGGGGCTCAGTGGCAGCCCAAGCGGACTAGGTTTCTGTACCCTTCACGGAGTCGGACCGGCCATGGGGATTACTCAGGTAGCCGAGCCGAGACATCTAGTGAGGTGTGCTTCGGAGGACGCACGTCTTTTGGTCTTTCAGTCTTTCGAGGAATACATCATTCTTACACTTAGACCTGCATGTCAAGAAGAGCTGGCCCATGGGAACCAGCAGTTAGCGTAATGGCTATGTCGCTGGACTCCCACGTAGTCGACCGCGGTTCGCATCTCGGACCCGGTGGCTTAAATCTCACGCCGGGCGCGTGTGCGTGCGTGCCCAAGATCCCAAGAGGAGAATGGAGGAGAAGGGATTGCGGCGTGACCATCCCCCCCTGGGGGGTGATTTCTCGCTTTCTGTCTCTATGTCTCTCTCTGTCTGTCTGGCGAGCGCACGCGCCCTATAGCGAAAACCTCTCCATAAAAAAGTAGAAAAAAAAAAAAAAGAAGAGCTGGCCCTGTGAAGACTCAAGCAGAGTGTCCCAGGCAGAGGGTCCTGCAAATGCAGGGTCCCTGAGGTATAAACGGGAATCATGAGGCGAAGGCTCAAGAGTAATGACTTGGCGCAGTTGAGGCCCCGGAAGCCGGAGGGGTCGGATCACATCAAGTCTTTTAGGAACCTGGGCTCTACTCTAATAGGAAGTATTCGAGGGTTTGAGTAGAAGCATGATAGAATCTGATTTACTTTTTTAAAATATTGTATTTATTTATTCATTTACTTACTTTCTTAAAATAATCATTTATTTAATTTTATTTATTCATCCATTCCTTCATTTTAATTTGACCAGAGAGAGAGAAAGGAGAAAGCAAACCACCATTCTGGTACTCGAACTATGGTCAGCCATTGTGGGAGTGTCCAGCGCCTTAACCACCATGCCACTTGTCAGTCCCAACTAACTTTTTTTTTTTTTTTAAAAGAATTATTTAATTTTATTTATTAATTCATTTATTTTAATTTTAACAGACAGAAACAGAGAGAGAGATATCGAGAGAGAGAGAGAGAGGAAAAGTGGGAAAGTAAGCCACCAGGTCTAGGACTCCAACTGTGGTCGACCACGGAGTGTCCAGCATCTCACCCACCACGCCACCCACTAGTCCCTCCCAATTTACTGGGTTTTTTGCCTTTTTTTTTTAGAAGTTTTTGCTATAGGGCGCGTGCGCTCGCCAGACAGAGAGAGACATAGAGACAGAAAGTGAGAAATCACCCCCCAGGGTGGATGTTCATGCCGCAATCCCTTCTCCTCCATTCTCCTCTTGGGATCTTGGGCACGCACGCACACATGCCTGGCGTGAGTTTAAGCTGCCGGGTCTGGGATGCAAACCGTGGTCTACTACATGGGAGTCCAGCGGCATAGCCATTACGCTAACTGCTGGTCCCCCAATTTACTGTTTAAGTTAAAGACTCTTGAGGTCAGCAGTGGTTAAGATACTGGACTCCTGCATGGTCAACCATGGTTCGAGTTCCGAACCTGGTGGCTGGAAACTCGCAGGGTGCGTGAGGGTACCCAGATCTCAAGAGGAGAAAGGAGAAGGGACTGTGGCATGGTCATCCCCCCCCACCCCAGGAGGGGTGATTTCTCACTTTCTCTCTGTCTCTTTGGCAAGTGCACATACCCTATGGCAAAAATCTGTCTCTCACAAAATAGTCTTGTCAGCTGTGACGAGATTATATTAGGGGAAGGATAAGCACAAAATCTGGAGGACCAGGGAGGAGGTGACCGCAGTGACCCAAGTGAGAGACAGATGGGAGCTGCCAAAGGACCTGACACCAGCTGCATGCCGCCACTCTGTCACCTTCCACCAGGTTCTACCGTTGACCTTGCCCTGGACGGGGAGATTCTTGAGGCTAGGACCCCCTGAAAACAAATTAGGAGACAGTGACAAGCCCATGCTGAATGAGGCCACCTCAGAGCTAACTGCTCATTTATAAGAGTTGACTTCTGTAAAGGGTTTTAGCGCCTTTCCCCCATTGGATGTAGAGAAGGGTGAGAGAAGCAGAAGTTTTCTCCTGATGATTTCTTCCCCATATGCTGTGGTAGAGATAGAGAGCAGGAAAGTGAGAAATCACTACCTGGGGGGATGGCCACACCTCATCCCTTGTCCTCCATTCTCTTGATTTCCTTTCTTTTGTAAAAAGAATTATTTTATTTACTTTTATTTATTCATTCATTTTATTTTAATGTGACTGGAGAGACACACACACACACATACACGTGTGCACGCACACACACACACATGCATGCACACGCAAAGTGAGAAAGCAAGCCACCATATCCAGGACTTGAACTGTCAACTACGTGGGAGTGTCCAACACCTTAACCACTATGCCACCTGCTGGTCCCTTCTCTTAATTTTCAAGTTGTAAGGTTCAGGACTTGAACTGTGGTCAATCATATGTGACTCCAGTGCGTTAACCATTACACAGAACACTGACCCCGAGAGAGAGAGACAGAGAGAGCGAGAGAGAGAGATTTCTGAGCGTTTGCCATTGCAGCTTTGTCCCAGATTCTGAATTAGCTGGGATTACCGGCCCACAAAACTGTACCCGGTGTTCCAGTTGGCCCAGGAATGCAGCCTGGGCTCTCATGCAGCGGGAAGCCTCCCAGGTGGCAGCATTACCTGTGCACCACCACCAAGCTCAAGACCTTTTCTTAAAAAAAATTCACTAGGGGCTGGCAGGTGGCGTGGTGGTTAAGAGCACTGGATCTCCAACTGCTGACCGTAGTTCAGGTCCCAGACCTGGTGGTTTGCTTTCTTTTTTTTTTTGGAGAGGTTTTTCCGCTACAGGGCGCCATTTGCTCGCCAGAGATACAGAAAGTGAGAAATCACCCCCCAGGGGGGGTGGCCACACTGCAATCCCTTCTCCTCCATTCTCCTCTCGGGATCCTGGGCATGCACGTACATGCGCTCGGCGTGAGTTTAAGCCGGCGGGTCCGGGACGCAAACCGTGGTGGGCTACATGGAAGTCCAGCGACATAGCCGTTACACTAACTGCTGGTCCCAGCGGTTTGCTTTCTAACTTTCTCTCTCTCCCTCTCTCTCTCTCTCTCCCTCTCTGGTCAAATTAAAGAAAGTTTTGGTTTTTTAATTTTAATTCTTTTATTTAACTTTATTTTTTAATTTAATTTGACTTGAGACGGACAGAGCAAGCAAGAGCGAGAAAGTGAGAAAGTAAGCCACCAGGTCTGGGACTCAAACTGCAGTCAGCCATGTGGGGGTTCAGTGCCCTTAACCAGCACACCCCCTGCTGGTCCCTAAAATAATTCTTAAAAAAAAAAAAAAATCGCCAAAGGACACATTTGCTCATTGGTGAGAGAGAGCGATGTGGGAAAACACCCTTCCATGGGGGGCGGTCACGCCACATCCCTCCTCTTAGGGCTCGGCCTGTGAACGCGCACCTGGCGGGTTTTCTGAGCTGGCAGGTCTGAGACGCGAACTGCACAGCGGGCGAGGTGGGCTCCTCCCCTCTTAGCTACTGGCTGACTTCGAATCCTTTTGTTCAATTTACTTCGTTGGATCCTTTCAACAAGTTAACAAGGCAGGTGGATCAGGATATGACTTTTCACATCCTTTCTGATTTGATCCTTGCCATAACCCTGTGAAATAGGTATAATTTTAGTATGTTTACAGTTGAGAGAAAACTGAGGCTTACAGAAGCTCATTAACTTGCTAATGCCACACAGTCAACTAAGGTGACACCAGAGTTTGTGCTCGGGTCTCCCTGAAGAGCGCGGTGAGCTTTACATGAAACAAAACCGCCTCTAAGCCTTGCTTGTTTCATGGCGTCCAAGTCCCCATCTCCGATGGGTACACCATTACCTTTCTCATTCCCTCTCTTATTTCTTGGCTAAATTTAGTTATCGCATTAATCCCTATTGGTTTCACTTAATCTATAATGAATAATTTGATGGGGCAGGAGACCAAAACAAATGCATACACACGTACGCACACACATAGACACACAGACACACACGCACGCACACACACACACACACACACACACACACACACACACAGAGTTGCTGACATCTCAATAGTTTGCTTTGGTCAGCAATTAAGACACCCTGTTCCCAACCGATAGGAAAGATCTCATGTTCCAGCTACTCAGAGACAGAGGGCTTGTTCTAGGGTTTCCATGACTCAGCAGGGCAGAAACGTGCCCTTTATCAGGAGCAAAATGGTAAGGCCTCAGCAGGGCCTTTTATTAGGATGAAAGAAATACTCACTAGTTCCCTGAGAGCTCTCAGCCTTGTCCCAGTGTATTACAGGCATCTAAGTGGGACTCGAAAACCTACCACATGCACACACGTCCTAGAGATGTGATGAGATCCATTTCAGTTTTCTTTTACAGTTTGCTAGAGGGTGTGTGCACTCAGCAGAGAGAGAGGAACGAGAAAGCACCTCCCGACAGGCAGGTGGGCATGGTACCATCCCTTCTCCATTTCTCCCACCTTTCAAAATTTGGGGCACACACATGTATACATCTGGCATGTTTTCTTGTCTGTTTTTCTTTAGAAAGATTTATTTTACATTTTATTTATTATAATTATTCTTCAATTTTGACCAGAGAGAGACAGAGAGAAAGGGAGAGTGAGAAAGCAAGCTGCCAGGTTCAGGACTTGAACCGTCGTTGCCCCTGTGGGAGTCCAGAGTCTCAAGCACCCTGTGACCTGCCGCCCTTTCTTGTGTGTTTTTGTGTTTTAAAGTTCTGTAGGGTGCATGCGCTTGCCAGAAAAGAGAGAAAGTGAGAAAGCACCTGCTCCCCCGCAGGGGACTTGAACCATGCTGCTGGTCATGTGGGACCCGACTTCTTCTCCATTTTCCCCACGCTGCCAGGATATGAAGCATGAGGGGTGTGCACATACTTGCACTCAAGTTTTTCAAGACACTGGGAGCAGCATCCCAACCACGGTCAGTCATGTGGGCTCTGGCCCGTTAACCACAAGGCCGCCAGGTCAGCCCTACCTTTCCATGAGACCATGTTCTGTTGTTTCTGTCTTGTGTTTAGTATAGGGTGTGTGTGCTCAACAGAGACAGAGAGGGAAGTGAGAAAAGCCCTTACCTGGAGGCGGCCACACCCCAATCTCTTTTCCTCCACTCTCCTCTTTGGATTTTGGGCACACATGCACGGCATGATTTTCAAGCCTCCATGTCTGGAACTCAAACTGCGCAGCCAGCCACGTGGGATCCAGCCTGCTGCCGGCCCAAACTGTGTGTTCTTAGCGGGCAGCAGATGTGTCCTGCTTACTGTATTAGCAACTGCCAGAGCCGAAGTCAGGATACACACTCAGCAAATGTTGGATGAATTCCTAAAATCTGTGAACACACAGAATAATCCATTAAAAGATGCTCTGCAGAATGCTTTAGAACTGCTGTCCAATACAGTTGCCACTACCCACATGAGGTGCTGGCCAACCCACACGAAATGTGGCTAGTGCAAGCCCCTAAGCGTTGTAAATGTAAGAGTCACATCAAAATTAAAGACCTAGTATGAAAAGGTGACAGGATAGAATTTTGGACATATTGGATTAGATAAAACATATTGCTAAAATTCATTTTACGTATATTTAATGTGGCTACTGGAGTATTTAAAAACAAATTTTTTTTGGAGAGGTTTTTGCTATAGGGCACGTATGCTCACCATAAAGACAGAGACAGAGAGACAGAAAGTGAGAAATCACCCCCCAGGGGGGATGCCCATGCCATAATCCCTTCTCCTCCA